TATTGGTAAAAGGCATCGATCGTAGCGACACGCCGTGACAATAATTCGAATCAATCCTATCGGGTCAAATACGCCACGTTTCCATACGAAAACATGTGTTACAAGTTAATTTTGAAGCAATGTTTTTATCTTTGAGTGAAATTTTGGAGTTCTTGAACTCATCAATAAAAAGCCGTAATTTCGTTGAAGGAGAGAAAGTTGTGAATGCTGGTCATTTAATATATTGTGGCATATTAAATAATATAAATAATCGATATGAGTTACGCTGAGAGAGTTTATATCATTATTTTCTGCCATTGGAAGGTCAGAACTTGTTAAAATATTTTCTTCATCGTTTAGGTTACCACAATTTCCATTTTGTTGGTTTATATTAGCTTCAGTACGATTTTTTTCTCTATTTAATCTTAATCTTAATCATACTTCTACTAATTCGTTTCTGGTCATCTGAAGGCTCTTTTATATTACATGAAGGCAAATTACAGGAAGGTATGGCATCTTTCTTCAAGAATTTGAAACCTTTAAAAATAGAGTCAACATGTCTCATTGTCCACAAAATTCAAAATATTGATTAATGTAATTAATATTTGAATTAATTTTAAATAATTAGTTATAGCTTAAAGTAATTATGCAAAAAAATGAATATTTACCAGGTGGAACATAGTCACTTCTTTTAAAATGTAACTAACAAACTTGCATGTGCTGAATTACTGTTTCCCCAATTTTTAAAACTTCTTGCCATTTTTTATGGCAATCGACTTTACCGAATTACCGAAATAATTTTGTATTTTTACATAGTAACTATTTGGTTTTGGAAAATAGTGGAAACGAACGCCCGGATTGTTAAACGCTTTACTTTTGCAACCATAGACACAACAAAACATTTTACTCGTAGTTTTTTTGGAGAAAATCTTGCTCCATTTGTTTCAGATTGATTTTCCATACTTTAAAATAATTTTATTTATTTTCTTCTATTATAATAAAAATAAAAAGAATTACGTATGTATCTCTTTCTATTCGCTGTGTAACAGCTAACCCGATAGGATTGGTTCGAATTATTGTCACTACGTGTCGCTACGATCGATGCCTTTTACCAATAGACGACATTATGTTTAGCTGTCAGTTGCTTTTTGTTATTCCATGTCAGTTGCGTTTTGTTATACCATTTTTAACAAATGAACGGCTAGACTGATGTTTTGACTGGTAAATTTTTCGTTTTGCTGTCATTTGCTTTTTGTCATTTCATGTCAGTTGCGTTTTCTTATACCACGTTTTTTTCCCCACGGGAACAGGATAAAAAGTATCCTATGTCCTTCTCCCTCATGTAGCGGCTCCTGCGAAGTTAAAGTTTGCCCGGCTCTGGTGTAGTGTGTGATATTTTGTCTAAAACAAACATTTTTAAATAGCAATATAGTGAAACGTGCAACCCGAATCATCTTCTTGTGTAATATTGTTAAAGTACATTGTTTAGGTTCGGGTACAATACGGACACACGGAGCTTATTGGATGAGTAGTTTGCACAGCGTAATTTGTATGCGCAGATAAAGGAAATGCTTTAAAATAATAATAAATATTAATTTAGTGTTATACGTATACTTGCTTAACGATTGTGTCTACAGTAAATCTGAAAAAAAAGGCGAAGAGGGATGTGACAGCGACAAACAGGATGAAAAAGGAAGTAAAATGGACATTGCCCCTCATGATTATAGCTCGTCCCCAGACGACGGAAGACGCATAAGCCTCAAGAAATAGATCAGGATTCCTGTGCTGAAAAAAATGCACGAAGGATGACTACAATGAAAATAGTATTGACCGATTTAGTGGTCGAACATCAATGTTATCGAAAGAAAAAAAGAATTACTTGAATACCCTGGACCTCCTATAACTTTGCAGAAGATGCAATGCATTTAAGGAGAAAATTTAATTATTCATGGTTGGAAGCATACTCACCTTGGTTGGTATATTTTGTAAATATTACACCTTGCTTCTCCCAAATCCAAAATTTGTGAGTTCAAAAATATTCACGAAAAGCACATGGAAACGTACATTCATGAGAGTTGCTAAGTCATTTCTTGAAAATTTGCGTGCTACTCAATAAATATTCCCAGAGAGTCATTGAGGAAAAGTGAAAAGTTTCAAAATCATCAAAATGCTTTTAAGGAAGATATCATGAAAAAGATAAGAGTATATTAGCCGATATTTCTTGGATGGAACAATTACCTATTGTACTACGATATTTCGATGAAGAAAATAACTAAGTCCAAGAGGTTTTTGTTGGTTTTGTTGAACTAAAAGTTTTAGATGTAAAATTGCTTGGATCAACAATAGATGAATTCTGGATAAAAGAAGAACTTAATCCTAAGAAAAGAAGGCAGTATAAAAGTAATACTGAGCAAAAAATATACCAAAGCTTCACATCTTCACTGTTTATTTCTTAAATTGAATCTTGTTTTAAACGACTTTAATGCTCTGTCTGAAGTCCGAAATACTTTTGGTGTAACAAAGTTAGTACCTAATATTTAGACATAATGCGAAATAGGTGGAGCGACAAATAAAAGAACAAGAATTTCTCAGGAAGATTTTTTTGTCATAAAGGAGTCCTGTCGCGAGAGGGAAACACTGCCATTCGAAAACATGCTCCATGCCTCTGTTTCTACAGTTTCATTTATTCATTCTTACCTGACATTAGTAGCGAAATATTCGACTATGACGGAACCCGTAGTAAATGTATTGTAGTCTGTAGTTTTAGATGCGATCACAGACAGATTAGACAAATTTTGTTATTGCTTAGAAGCCTTATAATACCGAAAAAGTTGCAGAAGAAATTTTAACCGATGCTACCGTCATGGTAAAAGAACCACCACTAGGGGGGAACATGAAATTGGTGCGTGTATTATTGGAAGACAGTGTCACCTAAGCAACATTCGGCGAGAAGCTCTCCAGAATTTTGGAGAAGTTGCTTAATAATTCCGTACTTAGACTCGATTATTGCCCTTTCAAGGATGGTTTGATGAAGAAAACAGTCTATACACAACAATGAACAATCACCATTGGTGTAACGCAAATCCACATCTCGTATCTCATTCGCGATTTTAAAAATGGTTTTTTGTAAATGGGTGGTGCGGAATTTTTGGGGATTCGCTGTTGGTTCTACCATTTAATCGCGACCTATTTGATTTGTTTACAAGAAACTATTGAATGCACTCGAGGATGTACCGCTGTAACTGTGTGGACGTTATGTTACTTCAGATGATGCACGCTCAGATGATGCGAGAATCTCTTGATGAACAGTTTCCTGGATGGTGAATAGAATTCTTCGTGTGGGGTTGCAAAACTCACAAATAGTTTCCGTAAACTACAAGACGGGGGTTCTAATTTCGATCAATTCTTGTAGCGTATGAATCCAGCAGAGATCGAAGAGAATGGGAGTAGCGAAGAACTACCGCCAGCTGAACAATGAAACGAAGAAAGGCAGCTACCCCTTGGACACACTTGCTGAGTCGACGATTTTCTCAACGTTAGACCTCAAGAAAGGCTACTAATAAGTGGTTACGGATCCTGAAGTCAAAAAGAAAACGGCATTCTTCATTGGAACAGTACTGCGGCAATTTAACGAGTGGTAGAGTGGTTAAAGAAATGTCAGCAACTACTTGGGATAGTACCAATCGACGTACATCACATCAAGTTCGAAAAATTTTTGGTATTTGTACATATTACAAACGATACGTTCCAAGAGTTGCTAATATTACTTCGAATCCAAGTGCCAGCCTACATTCGAGAAGTTCAAACAAGTTCCAGCCACCACATCTGTGTTAAGTTATCTTCTGTCAACGGAGAAATTTGTTTCGGACACCGATGCTTATAATGCTGGGATAAGTGCGGTGCTCTTTCACAAATAAAACGGAGAGGAAAAGCCATCAAGCGTTACCTGTAGTGAAGAGCATGGAACCTTTCTACAAAAACTCGTATGGAAGTTATTGTTCCAGATTCACCATGCCGCTCTAAAATGGTTGCCAAGGATAGAAACGCTCTAACAATACAATTTCGATACAGAACACCGAACTGGAAATATTAACAACAATTCCAAAGGTTTATTCCGAAATTTATGTCCTAATCATAGATGAGTCGAGGAGCGTGAAAAAGTTAGGATTACTATCTGTTGATGAAGATGGTCTCATGAAGCGGGTGGCAGAAAACCTGGACAGTACTAAAAGCGCTCACCGTCCTATAATACCGTGAAGTTTGATGAATAAAGTCCTGCGATACCTTCATGTTGGTTCTTCTGAAGGACATTTTGGGGTTAATAAGGCCCTTGGGAGGGTGCGTGTATGATTGTACTGGGTAAACTGCCGTAAAGAGCCGTTTCCAAAAATCAGTGGTGGAAATGTGGAAGGGCTCGTCAAGTACCTGATTAGCACCTCATTAGCCGATTCAGTGGACTAATGAACCTATATTCTGAATACGGCCGAAACTTCGAATCCATCGTTACCAGAACATTTTCACGATATTCGGAATTCACACTGCTCAATAGATCTCTCTTTGACATCGCCACAAGCCCAAGTCGATAGGGGGGTGTTTTTTAGATCCCTAATTACATTTGTGAAGTAGAGAAATGTTTCATATTCCAGGACGTATGTTAGAATATTTTTATGTTGCAAAAATCATAGTAAAGGAAGCGATTGAGTACTGGTATATATAAAATGAAAAAAATGCCAAAGTATTGCTTCATAAATGTTTAAAAATATTATTTTTATATATCAATCGAGACACCCTGTATGCCAGTTGATTCAATGCAATGTTAAGTTAAAATAAAAACTTCATAAATTCATCTTTTCATCAAATGCTATAGAAAATTAGTAAAAAAGCTACAAAATATTATATTAAACAATCATTTCAGGGTAAGACGAATTTCCTTGCATTGTTTGCGAATAGCGAAAAAATTGGCTATTGGCGCTTATGATAAGTAGATTATATGCAACGCGAAGTAGTTCAAATGTGCGTACGCCATTGTTACACTAATGTATAAAAGTAATCATTCCGTACACTAACAACCAACACTAACACGGAATAACGTATAAAGGTGATAAATTTTCAGTATGTTCAGGTAACTTTAGTGTATTCGTGGCAGTGTCTTAGTAATGTGCCTTCTGTAATTTTTTTAAAAAGTTGATAATATGGGTAACAGTCATCCACACGGACACGAACACAAAAGGAAAAGTCAAGATTCAACTGCTTCATCTGGAGGTGGTTCAAATAATAGTTCAAAAAAGGATATTTCCAGATCAGCGTCAGGTACCGACATTCACGAAAGGTCTACGCATTTACTACCTGTCGAAAAACTAGCTAAAGTAAGTTTACATTTACATTTACTAATGACGTGCATTCTTAATTCTTCGTTTTTTGTTAACATTTTATTATTTACGTGACATAATAATTAGAGTATTTAAGCAATAAATCGCCGAATTGCTGCAATAAATTAAAAACTATTAAAATTTTTAACACATACGTGTTTGTTTTATCAACAAATAGGTATATTTAGTGGATTTGGTATAAGGCAAGCAGTTTCCTGTTTATTAATGTTTATGTTTTTAGATTGATGGTTAATCTCATCTTAAAAAATTCAAAAAATGAATGAGAGCTACTGTCTTTAAAATACAATTCTTTCTCTGGTTTGAGGTTCTTCAAAATTAAAATTTAAAGCAGCAGTGAAAATGGTACTTATGTCACAATTATGTATTCAAATCCTTTTGAAGATAAAATAACTCTGATTGTGAATTAAGTTTTACATTTTCTCAAACATTAGTTTATTCTATGAATGTATTTACCTTGTCTTGAAATTGTGTAAGTATAATTCCTTTTAAGGTGATTAAGTTATGTATATCACAAACTAAAAGCGGTATTGATCAGCTAAAAATTTTATGAAAACTCATGATGATTTTCTGTACCACAGTAATATTAATTTCGATCATCAAACGTAAAAAGGATAAAGTATTTCTGTTGGTGACTTTGAATTGATTATCTTGTGTTCATGTTCGAGTGTCACAAAAAGAGAATGTAAAACATTAGCAAGGGGAACGGTTAATAAGTATGAACATGCATGTTCATCTAATATTTTGATTTGGCAGTCTCTTCAGTCTTTCTTATTTTTAATTTTATTCCTTTTTTTTTGCTTATCAGTCTTAGTTATTTCCTAATGTAAGATGCATTTACCTAAAACAGTCTGCGATAGACTGTATGACAATTGGGTGGACCACACTTAAAATTTGGAGAAGGAGGCATTGTGTGAAATTCTATTTCTAGAGGAATGAAAAAGAGTGGTTGTTAGCATGTTATTTTATATTAATACTACTTATGGTTACTGTTAAGGGCACTAAAAACTTGTTTTTCTGTTTTCCTCGAAAAATATACATTCACAAACATATTCCTTTGCACATTGAATATTCACAAACCATTTCCAATTGATTGAGAAATATAATATTGAGTTGGCTTGTAGGTACCTACTTGGTTTTTATAATAATGTTGAGTCTATATAATCTAATAATACAAAACAAGCTTTTCACAAAATAGCTACCTATGTATATTGAATTCACAACTATATTTTTGCTAATTTTACATTATAAAGCTACAGAGCAGTATAATTATGTCGTGAATTCAATGCATTTGTGAAAAGTTTATTTTGCGTTTTATTTAAATTTTAAAGTTTACTACGATACATCTAATCTAATAATCATTAACAGCATAGAAATGTTTTATTTGCACTAGTAAATTACAATAATATTGCGATATACACGAAATTATTTTCATTTACTTTTGATTATCGTTTATTATATACTACTTTATTAGTTTTGTAATAAAAGTAAGAATTTGCTATGATATTCTGTGACTCGGAGTATACCATTCTATGATCAGCTGGTAGGACATGCGCTGTGGTAGTTGTATAGTTCCGGTATGCATTTAAGCGAACAGCGTAAAGGAAACAGCTGCAGCATTGGTGTTTCGAACGCGTGATTGTGTGGTGTGGTGTTGTGCAAAATGGCGGTTAAAGCTAGGTAGTATTTACTAAAAGTATACCCAAAAATGTGGTGGTGTATATTAATTAAAAATTGAATTAAATGCAAGCATAAACGCAATAAAATGCATAATAGTGCATTTTATGTTAGCAACAATTATTTATCAAATACTAAGGTTATCAGTGAAAACCAAAATTGATAAAAAATTATTGGGTATTTCTTAATGGTGCAAATGTTAGGTATATTCAGCGACACAGGCGTAAAATACAACCGGTAACAATCTTGTTTATTATTTTTTTTGTGAATTTATTGATATTTAATAGGTGAAATGGTTATAGTGTTAGGTTTTGCTTTACATGTAACTTTTTATGGATAGAGACATTTTGCCGGAATTTTATAATTTTTCGTTCTGAAACGCAATTCGTTAGTGTCCTTGAAGGTTTTGATAATATTCTACGAAACAGATGCCAGTCTGTTATATCCAATCCAACTGATGAATTTCCTTTTTGATTTGTGGTACATTTATTCATATTTTTTGTAATGATGGCAATTATATCTGAAGAATGTACATGCACTGAAAATGAGCCATAAAGGAATTTGATAAAGAAGACCAATCAATTTTTTTTTGCTATTGTCATGGTACAATGTTGTAAAATGATTCAAATAGGTACTACATAGTTAACAATATATTGTTTTGTTTAAAAAAAGGCGTCTTAAAGGTAATAGATAGCAAAAGTAGTGAAATCTACTAATTTATTGGAAATAGATATTTTTATACTGTAGGTAAATTTTTATGATGTAGGTATGTAAGTCATCAAAGACATTCTCTCCATATGAGAAATATAAGATTTACTTACTTATTAAGTACATAGGAAATCTCTCTCTTACAGAAGGATGTTAAATTTTTGTGTCTAGAAATTTACTGTCAGTGAATAAATTATTATATTTGCGCTCATTGGGTAAAATAGCCAGTACAATAGTTTCTGTACTATAGTAAATCTGTTAATTTGATTGTACTGGAACACAAATACTTTATGTTAGGTACTTATTAATATAAAGAAACGGATTAAGTAGGTACCTACATTGAATAATTTTTATTTAATTTACTTTTAAACAGTTATTTCCGACTGTTCCTAGTTTAATTAAGGTGCTATTTTTAATTTATGTATTTACCTGTTATGGGACAATATTTAGTTTTTATAATCTTTGTTTGTTTATTTTAATTTTTGCAGACATATTTGTGTATAGGCATAAAAATTAGGTTCTTCAACACAAAAATGAGATGGAGCCTGTTTTGTGATATTACCAATCAACATTTTTGTATATACCCACATCTTTATACCGTTTGTGGACGATTATTTTCGAAATTTGCGAAATAGGTATCTAGTCATTTCCATTTTTTGTAAAAATAATGTGAAATTGATAATTGATACCTTTTCTTGTTGGTGTGATCACGAAATGGAATTGTAATCAACTTCTACCATCTAGGTACTGTCATTCCAAAAGCTGATAGTGTCATTCAACGTTGATGATGCACTTTATAGCAATTGTAAACTAATCTGCAATTGCTATACGCTAACAATAATAGCTGCTTTTGTGGATTCTGGTTCTGTTTTTTTTTCGGGACATGTATTTTCTGTGACCCGTCTGCATGTTTAGGCAGCTATTAAAAAATATCACCAGATGTTTTTCCAATCCACAATTCCCTCCAATTTCATTTTACTTTTCCGGATTAATTTGAATCCGAATTAATGACAAGAAACGGGTCATTTAATTATTTATGGGTCAATTTTTTTTTATTGTACTACTAGAAACTGACGGCATGATTCAACGTTGGCAGTGTAAATACTGTGGCTATTACAAACCAATTTCCTACTACTATGCTTCTGTTTGTGGGTTGTGGTTCATTTCTTCTTCATGACTAAAGATGCTATAATATTCCATTTGTATGTATACAGCATACATACTTTAATCAAGTCAAGAAAACTCGGTTTCTGAGTATTGAAACGGCAATTCTAATTTAATTTGCAGCAGTAATCTGAATCCAAATGAATTAATTATTATTAGTAGTTCATTTTTATTGTCCTTCTGTAAAAGTGATGGTATTCCAACGTTAGTAGTGTACAGTGTGACAATTGTAAACTAATCTACAATTGGTTAACCTTGTACACTAATAATTCCTGTTTTTGAGGATTTTGGTTCAGTTTTTCCTGGTACTACTGGGTATTTGTAACTGCAATCTATCTACATATGCATTATTAGATATCAACGAGGTCAATATAATCTTGTGTGTGGCTTGTTTTTTTTTCAAACCACAACCGCCTCCGGCTCCACATTAATTTGCGACATTTGAACTGGAATCAACGATAAGAAAATCATGTAATTATTTATAACCAGTTGTGTGCCCACGGCTTTGTTCACTTGGGATGTTTATCAATTTGAGAATTAACTTTAACATATATGCAGATTTATTCGCTACATACATGTCCTCCCGGATTATTTTACAATTCTAAGCTTTATAACTGTTGTATTGAAGATATTCAAATATCGTTTATCGTTAAGACAGCGTAAACTAACATTCCACGCTAATTACTTTTTGATGTTGATGAGCAGCATTGTGAAAAACAACATTTTTATAATGATACGCAAATTCTACACGTACATGTTTGGTAGAAAATGTAAAGAAATAAATGGAAAATGAGTACATCAATGTGTGCAAAATAGCATCTAAAAATAACCATTAGAACATTAATGTCATGAGTACGCTGAGTTGGAACACAAAGTTTTTATCAACAAAGACCTTTATTAGAACTAAGAATATCAATACACGCCATTGTTATTAATTTGGACGTCTTCTATATGTTGTGTCGCCGATAAATATATATATTTATACGCGGGAACTTTTAATTAGGGTTCCTGCGAGATGGTTAAGACTTGGAAGTCANAGTGGAATTGTTTAAAGAAAAAACCAAGTGGCAAAACTACTAACAGTTTAATTCTTGTTAAAAGGTGTACAAAAAGAACTTACATGGGTCGAGTTGAGTGTTGAGTATTAGTTACATACTAGTCAAAAAACTAACTAACTATCATTCTTTCGAAAATGTCTTTTATAATAAAGTTTGGTTCTGCTTCATAAAAATATTGGTAATGCATCGATTAAAATAAATGGTTTAGGAGAACTGTTTCATATAACAGTATGGTTTCGCTATGCAAAACGTTATTGGTCATACATTGATTAATATGAATGTTGCATAGACAATTAATGAGATAAATGATATTACAAACGCAATACAGGCTAAAAGTACAGAGTGTTGAAAATACATATAAGCAGGGTGGAA